ATGATTCTGAGTAGACCAGGATGTCATCCATATACACAATGATGAAAATTTACGATGCCCTGAGTTAGCCTGGTCTTGTTGACGAAATTCTGAAATGTGATGTTCATCACTCTTTGAAAAATAGCTGGCCCATTGCAAATTCCCATTGGGCAACGGACCCACTGCCAGGTGCCCTCGAATAAAACAAAGGCCATTTTCGGCTGATCCTCCTCCTTGACCAAAATATGATAAAATTCATGGCGAATATCAAACTTGCCTAAGTACTTAGCACACCCAATCGCATCCAACAGATCATCAATCCAGGGAAGGGGGTACACGTCCTCAATCGTGATATCATTCAGCTTTCTGTAATCAATGCAAATGCGAATCGACCCGTTTTTCTTCGGGACTAAGACCATGGGAAACAACCAGGGTCCGGTTGTCGGTTCGATCCATCCGTTAGCCTCAAATTCTCTGATTCTTTGCAATGCCACTTTTCGTTCCGCGAGAGAATATTGGTATGGTTTATAGTGGATCGGCGGGTGTGTTCCGGTCTGAATTTCGTGTTGAATGACTAAGGACAGTCCGATATCCGTATCGTGCGGGTGTGTCCGTGAATGACTAAGGACAATCCGATATCCGTATCGTGCGGGTCCTTAGTCATTCAACACGATATTCAGACCCTACCTTGAGTCTGAATTTCGTGTTGAATGACTAAGGACAGTCCGATATCCGATATTGGTATGGTTTACAGTGGATCGGCGGGTGTGTTCCGGTCTGAATTACCATGTAGCTCGTAGGGTTGTCCGTGTATGGTAACCGTCACGTGCTTCGTGCCTACTCTGGGGCTGTTTTCCGCAGGGGGAGCAAAGATGAAGGAGTTGTTCGACCGCCAGGAAAACACGGTGGCGACCATCTGAGCATCTTCCTCTCGGATGGCAACATGTTCTTCCGGGGTCACGCCATCGTCGATATCCTGCGAGCACACTGGTTTCTCGGCGATTTTGATTCCGAGGTCATAGGGTGTAGAGTCGTCGCGTCCAAGGGGTTCCAAAGTTTTGGTTTCGGCCCCCTGCTGTAGTAATCGCACCTCCTTTTCCGAAGATAGCAAAGAACAAGGTAGCCCTGTGATGTCACAAAATGCTATCTTGCCTCTATATCTCGAGAGAAGCGGGGCAGTGGCCTCGTATAGGGTCCGAGGGGGTTCCGAAGAGTCGAGCATCTGGGACATTTGTACGAGTGGTTCCCCTAAGATTAATGCGCGCATTCGTTGTCGATTTCTTTCCGTAAGGACGAACGTTTTTGTGGTCTTCTGTCGGATTGGGTAACGAATCAGTTGTTGAGCCATATTGTGTATCACGGGATCGGCGTCGTCTCCGCTGTCAGAGTCACTCGATAGTTTCAATTCCTTTCCCCTTTGATCCGATTCGTGGATTGGTTCCTTCCAGGTGATCACCCGGAGGGGTCCTCTGATTCCAGGCGGGGGTTTCTGGGTCGAGTGCAGCGTGGTCCTCAGAGTCAACCGCATCGGAACAACATACGGTTTTCTACCTGTGTTTCAAAGAATGACGGATCGCCTCTCAAGGAACGTTCGTCATTTTTCCTACCGCTTTGATTTTCTCTTCGTCCGCTGAGACGAGATGATCTCCTTCCATCAAGGTGATCAGATCCTTCCTTCTTCCTGCCCGTTCTATGACTCTCAATGAAATCGCCAGTACAGTGGCCCCCGAATCGATAACAGCGTTGTAGAGGATTCCCCATACGTCGATATGACATTCCACTGATTTCCACGGAATGGCTTTGATTCGCAAGAAATGATCATCTTTTTGGAGTATTCCTAACCGTATTGGGTCTGAAGTACTAGGAACGTCCAACCCATCTTCGAGGGTCGGGGCTTTTGCTTTTCGAGCCGTCGATTTGACGAGAGCAAATCGTTTTCTGTTTGCTTTGCAATGCTGTAGCATGCGCTCATTGGCTTGCTCCGATATGGACAATAGGTGTCTAATAGGCAAAGCAATTCGGTGATCTAGAGCGCGGACGATGTCCAACACGTCGATCTCTCTAGTAACGAAGGTAGGACAACCCGACTCCATCTCTCTCGGAGAAGGTCTCCATTCGGCCATCTCTCGCTGTTCATTGGCGGGCCGGATGGTTCCGATCATTCCCAATTCCCGGTAACCCAATGCCACGTATGGTCGAGTGGGATAAGTTCCACAACTTCTTTAGTGGTGGCTACCGCACTCCCTCCTTCCATTTCTTCAATCATCGTGCCCACCCTCCTTGGCCCACTGGCCACGGACGCAGCGACCACGGGGGCGGTCCCAACTCGAGCTTGTGTAGGTCGGAGCGGACAGTCTCGGGCTATGTGGCCCGGTTGGTGACACCTATGTGACCGCTCGAACGCGCTGAACGCGCGTTCTCGTTCGAACGCGAGCGTTCAAACGCGCAATGCACCACATGGCGCGTTTTTTTTTTTAACGCAACCCACCCATCCGCATGTGCGCATGGCAGACTACGGACGGGGGGTTTGGTTCGTAAAAAAAAAAAAAAAAAAAAAAAAAAGTGTATATTTCTATGTTCTAGTAGCGGTAGATTTGCTCATAAAATAGATGGTTGGTTGATTGATTGATTGATTGATTGATTGATTGATTGATTGATTGATTGA